TTATTATTACTAGGAATGCGCACGCGCATATTTTGCCAGCCAAATGCGTAAACAGTCCGATCCGACTGAGGCCGCTCGTGCGCGCGCTCCACATGTTTCCATGACGACCGCATTTTGTTTGAAAAGCCTCAGGCAATTTTCTTTAAAACCACTTCTTCACTCCTCAAACTCGCTAAAGCTACCACGCATGGAGATGTTTGTACGCATGTGTGTAACATCGTTTCCATGACGACCACAACAAGAAATAGCCTCAGGCACTTTTCTTTAAAATTACTTCTTCACTTCTCAAACTTGCTAACTGTGGAGGTGAAACTTGGTGTGCATGTGTATTACGTCATTTCCATGACGACCACAACAAATAAATTTACTTCTTCACTCCTCAAACTTGCTAACAGCAGAGATGAACAAACATGAAGCATGGGTAATGAACAGATTTGAGTATGCTGATACCCCCAACCCCATCACACAATCCCTATATTGTTGCCTGGTGTGCTACTCTTAAAAGCAAGTATTCTTTCACATGTAGTTTTTAGTAACATTTATACGGCCCAATTGCCTTTTAATGGACTCTATAAGGGTGTTGGTTACTCAGTAGTGTATTGTAAGTTCTGAGTATTGTATTGGTGAATGTTTAATACTTCACCTAGGCAAAAATATAAGGATTGTGTGATGGGGTTGGGGGTGTCAGCGTACTCAAATCTGTTCATTACCCATGCTTCATGTATCCCTTGTCTCCCTTTCTTTTTATACGATTCCTATATGCCTCTTTTTTTAAATTCGCAGGATTTTTAATTTACTTGTCTCCACTCATTTTTATATACTACTACGTATTATCTCTAGAGAAAAAAATTAATGCTTGTTGTCGTCATGGAAATGATGTGCACACCATGTTTCATCTCCATGTGTGCTGCTGTTAGCAAGTTTGAGGAGTGAAGAAGAAATTTTAAAGAAAAGTGCCTGAGACTATTTGTTGTTGTGGTCGTCATGGAAACGATGTTACACACATGCGTACCAAGTTTCATCTCCATGTGTGATACCGTTAGCGAGTTTGAGGAGTGAGAAAAGTGCCCGAGGCTATTTGTTGTTGTGGTCGTCATGGAAACGATGTAATACACATGCGCTCCAAGTTTCACCTTCACAACAATAAGTATGACCAGTCTCTTCGGGTGACAGATATCTACATTCTTACAAAATTTCATTAGTGTATGTTGTTTCGTTTTTGAGTTATGGGTATTGAATCTGAATCCGAAGAAGAAGGAGAGAGATGAACAAAACTCCCTATCATAGCCCCATACATCTATGGTGCTAGGTTCCATGTCAATCAAGTACTACCGTACTTAGTGATATAAAAATGAGTGGAGACAAGTCAATGAAAAATCCTGCGAATTTAAAAAAGAGGCATATAGGGATGGAAAGGGAGAGATTTTGAGTATGCTGACACCCCCAACCCCATCACACAATCCCTATATTGTTGCCTAGGTGAAGTATTAAACATTCACTATTACAATACTCAGAACTTATAATACAAAAAAGTCATGCTATTGAGTAACCAACACCAATAGAAGGTCCAAGTGGAGTTTAATTAAAGGGAATGTGGCAGTAGAAATGTTACTAAAAACAAGAGGACCACGGTGAAAGAATTTAGTAACCTCTAGCCCTTATAAACACCACATTCCCTATAAGAGTAGCACACCAGGCAACAATAGAGCGATTGTGTGATGGGATCGGGGGTGTCAGGTTCTCAAATCTGTTCATTAACCATGCTTCATGTCCCTATCTTGTCTCCCTTTCTCTTTTTAATGCCTCTTTTTTTTGTTCAACCTATCCACTACCTGCAACAGTCTCCTGGTGCCAGTGGAAAATGTTATGCATGGTAAGGGTACTATATCCACAGCAACACAACACATTATTGTGGACCACGTAACTTCCCTTGGAAGGCATCATGTGCAGAGACTCCAGAGATAACATTAAACCTCCTTCCTCCTCCCATGGAAGGACACTGGTGGATCAAATGCTCTCATATGAGACACTGCTCACTAAAATGTGGTGACATTGGCTGCACTTGTGGTGGGTGGCCGTGATGACCCACACAGGGGTCTATCATCTCCAGAATAGTGTGGGTGGTGTAAAAGGAGCCTATGCATATGACCTGGGTACGAGGCTGAGTGCCCTGAAGTTGTGGAAGGCTTTTGTAACACTAGATCTAAGTTCCTTGTCAATGAAGTTTGCTTAGCAAAGAGTATGAGCCCACTCTAAAACAAGAGTGCTCTGCCTTGCTCTGTATGGGTGATTCAGCCCAGCCAGCTACGCTGCCTCAGTAGCTCCGTTGGTAGAGCGCTCTCTAGAACACAGAACCAGAAGCCTGGTTTTGTCGATATTTGCGCATGCGCAATCAAGTGCGTTGGGTAACTTGACCTTCGATCTTTCGTTCATGTCCAGTCAGGAATTCGGGGGCTGGGCGTTTCTTTTGTATAGCGCTTCACCTTGTTTGTGTGACCAGCTTCGTTGCTGGACTGTTGAAGCTGTTACCACCCCACTTCGTCAGGGTAAGGTTTTCCTAATCTTTTGCGTGTATATGTGTGTGTGTCGTGTTCGTCAGCTGGACTGACGGAGGGGTGTTTTGTTGACCAAAGTAGGGTTATTTAATTTCCTACTGTAAACCCGAAAATTCGAACCGACTGCGGGGGGGACGATTTCAGCCCGTAGCGTCTTGGAATCTGTGTCTTGTACACCGTGGAGTCGCTTGATATCCGAGTCGATACCTTGTACAAGTAGACAGTGGCGGCACTTCGGCGCGAGCGAGCCTAGAGATCCGGCTGTCTTCTTCTTGCGTACCGCCCCTTTTCCCTCCCTCACACCATTGCGCCACACTGGCGTAGTCGACACTAACACAAGTACACAGTAAATGACCAATTGATAGCATGAGCTTTAAGTACAGTGGTATAAGCTGTTGGGGGGTGCATTAGAATATCTATCGGACCTGGGCACCACCCTCTATTCAGTTCAGCCTTTATCAAAATTTGCGTACATTGGGCAAGTATACATCCTTTGCATGGGTATATGATTACCTCTCCATGGCTTCAGAAACTAGTATTGTTATGCTTGATATCAGTTAGTGATACTTTGTACTTGACCCTGTGCCTTCGGCTTCATGGTTACTTGAAATGCAAAGCCTGAGAAGAGAATTTCACTGGGTCTTTTAAATGATCGAGAGTGAAGTTCATACATGATCTATGAATGTCTCATGCTCTGATAAAGAAATTGGGAAGAACATGTTTTAAGTTGGTCCCTGTAAAGGAGATGAGGGAGGGAATTTTACACCAGCAAGCAATGTCAGTTCTATATAAGTATGTAGCCATCATCCATTGTACTTCTGCATCACTTTTACTAAGTCATCCCTGTCTTGTCTCGTTGCATAACCTATATTCCACACTTAATTGAAAGAATCTTTTTTACTTGTATCATAATTGTGGTTTGCAAGGAGTGAAAATGAATCCATACATTATGACTCAAATTGAATCTCTGTGTCCTAAACATCAACCCTTAAAATTGTAAGTAACATCTCAGCTAAGCGATATACTGAAGAGCCTTATACTGATGGCTTCTGACCAGTTTTAAAGACTCTTCGGTTGTATCCTAAACTTGGTATCTAGTTTGCTGTCATAGTGTCAGATTGATACATACAGTACTTTAAGACCAATACTAGTAGTAGGGATTCTACCTGCATAAAGTGTGTGTGGTTTATGTATATTATGTGTAAGAGGGCAATAGTGTTTCTGTTTTTTTGTTATTTTTACTAGTGTAATGTTGTTGCTTTGTGCAAATTATAAGTAGCAGCACTGCTTTCGCTCAGATAAGGACTTCTGTCTGTAAAATTTACTAATGCTAACGTGCGAACCCTTGGCACAAGAAATGAGCACATGTTTCCAAAGAAGCACTTTTTGATTTGCTGTACTGCCACGCTATGTGGTCTAACGATCCTGTTTTCAACTGGATCAGTTGAAGGCAATTCTGCACATATTCCTGGGAACTTTCCTCGTCCACGGTGCACTAACAGGCTACAGCTTGGCGAAATAACACAATACTGATCATTGCTTTTGTTCATGCCATATCCCTTGAACACAGCCATTTCATGAAAAAACTGCCTTCACACTCCCGTAACTCTGAATATGTTGGTGTCTCGGTTAGGGGGACTCGTAACCTGTAGTGCTGCAGACACGTAACCTTTAGTGCCTAGTAGCTGCCGGCAACCTGATAGACACACAGATTGGTAGCCTTCATTATAGATGTGTGCCAAGAGTAATTTGTATGTTCCTTACTGATGATTTAGCTTTGCTTAAGACAAGAGGACTATAGTTGTCGAACCTCATGTGTGAAATAGGCTCGTCTGACAATGAGAGATAAGTCAAGTTGAGGCCTCAGATGTAACTAACTTCTCTGGCGCAGTACAAAAAGTTGCTTTCTGGTAGCAGCAACTGTGCCTCTTTTTTCCCTCTTCAGATAATCAAGTCTCTGTCTCGGAATTTGGCTTATATTATGTAGTTATCGTTAATTGTGTGTTGAATATTTGTGTCAAAGCAATGGGAATTTGTTCAGTGTGTGCATTGATATTTTTGGCCACGTTGGGCAACACATTTTTCGCAACACGTATTCAGGGTTTACTAAGCCCTCGAGCAGTCTTGTTGCTAGAGCATCCCTGAACAGGAACAGCTCGCCTTCTTTTTTGACCACGTGGATGAGACTGATAGTCAGAAATGAGAACCTTAGAAATTCGTGACCGATTTTCCATAACCTGTGTCATCCATAAGTGCTAATGTATTTATAAATCTCAGCTAAGAGTTAGAAGTGATTTTTTTGATGGAAGATGTATCTAAGTGCTAGGGCACCAGATCCCAATTCTTCTTGTTTGAGTTCAATTCCTAGGGTGAAAAAGTGATTGTACATAGGGCTTGGGCTTCCCTAAATGCTTGTGTGCAGCACGACATGCAAGCTTTTTGTCAGTTACACACAGGCCAGAAGGTATCTGCATAACTTAAGAGACAGTGAGTATGTGTTGAATCACTGTGTCGGTGCATCTTTTGTTGTCAATGGCAAGAAATGGATTTGCCTGTGACTGTGCCATCTGTAGCAGACTTCATGTTAAAGAAATTGATCAAGCCATTCGTTTTGGGTTTTGATCAGGACTCACCTAAAACAGTCGTATGTACAAATTTTCTCAATAACTGTACTTTGACTTCGGACTTCCGTACCTAATCAATGTAAAATGTGATTAGATGTGTTTGTGCTTTATTTTAGAGAGGAGATATGTCAGGCATTGATGACAGAGTTCAGGCAGAAGGAGGCATTGGTTATTATGAATTTGAAAGAGTGATCGGAAAGGGAAACTTCGCTGTTGTTAAGCTAGCTAACCATACTATCACCAATGTCAAGGTTAATTTTGTACATACGTGCAGTGATGATAAGGTGTGTCTGTGTATTCACACCTCTTTTGCCACACACAATGCATTGGCCAAACTATTATGCAAACAAGTTGCTGTAAGATGCTTGAAAAAAGGAAGTTGTGTGATGAGAAGAGGTTAAGACTGTGTTTTTGCATGCGCAGCGAGTGCTTGCTGTGTGTGTATATCTGTTGCATCTACTCTGGAATACTACGAGGTAACCGACGGGTTATACTAATGGTAGTGCAATGTAGGAATTACCGTGTAAGTTTAAATCTATAAGTCTGTGCTTCTGTAGAATAGGGCAGAATGCCAATATTAACCCTCGGCACGCATGCGCAGCAGCGATGGTTACAGTACGTGTACTTGGTCTGTCTGTCCCTCTGTCCGTGTGTTACTACGTTTCTGCCACCATGCGCAAGAAACAGGTAAAAAAAAAGCGACATCAGCGTGTTCTGCGTCACACTGGCTTTTTTAAATGGTGATTTTCGTAAAAGTGCCGCGTTCAGAAATTATGGCGTGAGAACCAAGTGAACAACCCAATATGCTAATGGACACAGACTTACCTTGACCGGGTGGGCTTGTTCTGTGGAAGTTGAAGGCACAAGATGTCGCAACAAACAACTCCCGCATGCTATCTACTACTGTAGCTAGCCCGTGTCAGACTCTCCGTGAGCATAGTATTATAACCCAACCCATCAATTAGCGGTACCGCACATGCGTAATGCGCCGAGGGTTTGCACTTCAGCGCTTTTAATAATTTTTCTGGTTTTGCCATGCACTGATTTTTCCAAAACATTGCTCTTTTGAACTTGGCCTTATCATTTCCGCTAATCCCTATAGAGTAATAACATTCTTGCCTTATACCACGCCAGACTGATTGTGGTACAACCTGCGTTAACCATTGTTTCTAGACGACTGAGGAAGGCATACAGCCTTACATGAATGACCCTAGACAATATTGCTAGCATGTTAGGCACACCTTGACTGTAAGTGTACCATTCCAAGTACAGGCTTCGTAATAGCCCAGTTGCACGTAAGCGTTGGAATATAGATTAATGTTTTAATTGCCCGTGACGTCACGGCTGGGGTCCCGTTTCTCTGCGTTTTGTATGGGCAAGTATAGGACCTCTCTGAGCCCTTTAATCGGCATACTGTACCTGATTTGCGCTGGTGGCTGCTCTGTAGAGGCATTAAAGTTCCTACTTCTTGTGGAAAAAAGCAACTAGTAAACAGGTACGTAGCTAGTGCAGTGCTTGATACAGAAATTACCAGTGAGTGATCAGGTACAGCGCAAATCAGGTACAGTATGCCGATTAAGGGGCTCAGAGAGGTCTGCTCCAGGAATATCGGCTGGAGACAACGTGACTTGCTGGATATCCGTAGCGATATGCGAAGGACCTCACGTTTCTCGTGAACGGTAAGTGCTACGCTCTCGGTTCGAAGTACTACCGGTAGGTCTGGAGTTCAACTTTTCGTGATGCTTCACTTAAAAAGAAATACGGTATAACGTTTGTGTGGCGCGAGTTTTAAAACGCAAGTCCTATACTTGCCCATACAAAAATGGGACCCCAGCCGTGACGTCACGGGCAATTAAAACATTAATGAATTCCGATCGCCTTACATGCAAGTGGGCTATTGTTGTCTAGGATGAAAATTTGTCTTTCAGCGTTACACATACACTTGGCCAAGATCGTTTTCATGGGGATTAGAGTTTTGCCTCAAATTGAGTATTTTGAGAGATGGTGCAGTCAAACATTTCTCCTTTGGGATGACACAGGTTGTCCTGCATTATGCCCATACATTTGAGATTTTCCTGTTTCACTTTCAGTTTCAATCAGGTCCAACTTTTGACACATCAGACTAATTTGTATCGTCACAAAGAGCATGTATCCAAGAAATAGCTCAAATCACATAATCGGTACTTGATTTATTCAAAAAGTCACTTTTCAATTTTCTTCTTGTTGTTTAGTTTTAACAAGCGTATCTCAAAAACGATATGGAGCTGAAACTTTGCACAAAGATTGGAATCCATGACAGGTCGTGCAAGAGCATTTTTATTTCTTCGTGAACAATTTTGTTTACATGTAAACAACAACAAATAGCCCCAGGCAATACATTATTATAGAGATAAATAAAGTGTGCTAACTGGGTAAAGCTAATACCTTGAATTATAAACCTTTGTACACCCATCATTAGCATCAAAATGTAAATATTACAAGTTTGTAAACAACAACAAACAGCCTCAGGCAATAAAAACTTGTAAAATGTGTTTGTGCCTATAACTTGCTTAAGGTTTGTCCTCTAACAATGAAACTTGGTACACTGATGTACCATGATGAGAGTTGAATTACAAGTTAAACAACAACGAACAGCCTCTGGCAATATAAAACTTGTAAACTATATTATAACTTGCTTATGGTGGGTTTGGTACACTGATATTCCATGATAAGAGTTCATCGAAACAGAAATTTAGTAAACAACAACAAACAGCCTCAGGCAATATAATGATGTTGTGCCTATAACTTGCCTCTAACAACGAAACTTGGTACACTGATTTACAACGATGAGAGTTCCGAAACAGAAATTACATGTTTGTATACAACAACAAACAGCCTCAGGCAATAAATACTTGTAAATGATGTTTGTGCCTGTAACTTGCTTATTGTGGGTCCTCTAACAATGAAACTTGGTAGCTACACTGATTTACTACGATAAGGAGTTCCTCTGCCTTTAATGTTCGCTCAACTAATTGGTTTTACAACGCTGCTTTCCCTACAGAATCTTCTATTCAAAACTCATGTCATGAGTAAGAGTGGCGACAATATAGGGCTTGTTTGGAGTAAAATTTACGTGAGCAAGAAATGTCAGTTTGAGGATGTAACAATCATCCCATTGTACTACTACATCACATGCCCTGGTCATCCCTGTCTTGTCTCCTTGCTTTTTATGGCATCCCTATATTGCACACTTTTTAATTTTCAGAATTTTTTATTGACTTGTTCTTATTGATGCCCATGTTACAAAACGGCTAGTACCCCCTCAATGCTTTTCGACGCTGTCAATTCCACCCTCGAACAATCGTCATTTAGAATGGGATCTGAAGTCGCTGCTCAGCAGCAGAGACTCTGAAAGGTTGGTGTAAGGACAAAAGCAATGAAGTACCATACACAGAGTTTTCCAACCTATTAAAGGAATTTATAGGAGCTCTATAAACAGAGAGTGTATCTGGAGATCGTTCTTTAGTCTTCGGAGTTCCTCTGCCTTCAACTTGGATAGCATTTCTTCCGCAAGCAGGTGTTAACCCTACAACAATGTTTTGCCAGCATTTGACACACCTTGTGCTCATCCGGGATCACTTCAGTTATTTATCAATCTCTCAACCTGTAAAACAAGGAACATCGATCAACGAAGAGAATGGCCTGTCATATGCAGCACGTTACATAGTATGTCATGTTATTAAGAAGATCAGTAACCCAGCTCTCATCAGTTGCTGTCAAAAACACACTTCAGCGTTTATACCCAGAATAGAGCTGAGGGGTGGACTGACCTGGTGGACAGAGGAAGGCATTGTCGTGTGAAGTAGACTACCTTTCAGTTGTTTGTTACTCTAAAAGATGAAGTCCGAAAGTATCTTGGCCAGCTGTCTTCACCTTATGCCACTGGGCAAAGAGTCCAATTTCTCAGTAGTTCGTGTAGTTGTGAAGATGTCCAATTTTACTGGTGTATTACAGCAGCAGAATTTGAAGTTATCGACACTGATGTGCACGATGATTTGCTAAAAATGATCGTGGATCTTTTTGTGACAATCAGAGGGTTTTCTTATGCCAGTGCATGTATCGAACACTACAAGCAAACCCTCAAAAAGTCTACCCAGTCTCCTACGTTGATATATACCCATACCACTTCGCATGCTCTTCCAAAGACAGTCTGAAGTTGTTCCAGAACGTACGAGTGTTAATATTGAGAGCTCACGCCAAAATATACTGCGTGAACGGTCGCACGTAATCCGTTTCCAATCCCGGTTACGTGTCTATGCTACGTGTAAACGCATACTCATAGCCTAGTCATGAATAAGCTGTGTGCAGTGTGCTAAAGGTTTGCACTTTAGTGTTTTTCATTTTTTCAATAATCCTGTCATGCATTATTCAGTGAAGCAATGACCAGTATATACCATTAACCCTCCATATAAATGTTGGGGACCGATTAAAAACAGAAGCCCGTTTTAAAGCCGTCCAGATGGTTTTAAAATGGGCCGGCCAGTTTTAAGGCCGTCCAGACAGATTTTACGCGGTCCAGCTGTCTAGAAGCCGTCCAGACGGCTTTAAAACTATCCAGCTCGATTAAAGGACGTCAGGAAGAAGCAACCTATCTACCAGTCGCTACTGTCCAGCCCTGATTTTGCGATCTACCTCAGCAGTTGGCCGCGGACTTTGACACTCATCCTGCCCACGGCTAGCTGTCACTGCCATGCGCGCAAGATCGATCACGCACGCGTGCGCTGCGGTACGTGACTCAGCTGCCGCGATCACCCGCCCAGCCCGTCCTCATTTTCTCTGCCGCTGCTGGGCGTAGTAGACGACAGCGCTCGCAAGGCCGCTGGCTGGAACAACAGCTGCTGGCACAGTTAGGACACTGCTCCCGGCCCATTTTTATTCATGCACGGACCCGTGCTCGAAAGACCGGTGGCTGGAACAGCTTCTGGCACGGTAGGACACTGCTGCGACCGTGCTTGTCGTGGGCTGGAACAGCCGTTGCGCGGTAATGAACGACATGGTCATCCTGAGCGTCTGCTTAAAAACCGCCTGGCTTACCGTCGGGGCGGCTTGAAAACCGTCGGGCTAGAATTAAAGCCGACCGGCCGGAATTAAAGCCGTCTGGCCCGTTTTAAAGCCGTCGGAAACGGGCCGGGTTTTTAATTGGTCCCCAACATAAGCATTGCCCAGCATCTTTTCTTTTGCTGAGGCCGTCTCCAATCGTGAAGTTAGCAGGCCTTCCCTGCATAATACTGAGCCTTTGCTACTCACTGCAGTAGGCAGAACACTACCGTATCTTCAGTTATCTGTTGTCAAGAGGAAATCAAGCCTTCGTTGTGAGGCCATGAGCTGCAATGTTTTCCAAAGAGTACATACGTAGTATCTAGTCTCTAGGTGGTGCTGTGGGTGTGTACTTGGTCTGTGTGTGTGTTTGTTATGGGCTATTCTTGGTACCCTTGGCTTCAGGGTACATGCGCCCATGAGTTATAACAACGGCCTAAAAACTACCAGAGCCTAATAACGTTGTTTGTGAAACGATGCGTGAAAACAAGTGATAAAGCCAATATATAACTGGCTTACCTCGACAAGGTTAAGCCCGTTTCGCCCCTTAGAGGGATGAGGTGTGGTTATGCGTACGCGTGACATGAAAGACTTGCACGTTAGTGTTTTCATTGTAGCTGGTAATACTAAAACCTACCTTTCGCTAAATCAATTAAAACAGCCCGATGCTGATGAGCTAAAATAGCTGCTACCTTTTATTCAGTATTTAAATGTACTGTACAGGTGTATTTTAAGGTTTGTCTGAAAGACCTTGCCAGGGCATCTGGTTCCAAAGCCGAGACACTCGCATCTCAACTTCAAGCCTTCTCATGAAATTCTGTGTGGGTGTGGGGAACGATGTATATGTAGTCACATGTTCTGCACAACTGTTCAGACGAATGTGCAGAGAGTGGTATGCTTGATAATTATGTGCACGTTACTGCTTGCACTGAGTGTTAATAATAGTGCAGTGTGATTAACCCTCGGCGCGCGCATGCGCAGCGAGGGTTACAGTAGTCGTTCTGTCTGTCTGTCCGTCTGTTACCACGATTTCTGCCACCACGCGCAACAAACAGGTAAAATAGCGACACCAGCGGGTTCAGCGCTACACTGGCTTTATTTTAAAATAGGCTATTTTCGTAAAAGTGCCGCGTTCAGAAGTTATGGCGTGAAAACCAAGTGAACAAGCCAATTGCTAATTAGCACTGGCTTACCTCGACCCGATCCGCTTGCTCTGTGTACCTCGGAGGAGCCACAACGAAGGGCGTGTATCGACTCCCGCATGCTATCTACTACTGTAGCTAGCCCATGTCAGACTCTCCGCTAGCTACTAGTGGGGGATCACGATACTGGTAAATAGGCTCAGCCCATCAATTAGCGGTACCGCGCATGTGCCGTTCACCGCACCGAGGGTTTGCACTTTAGTGCTTTTTATTTCCTCTGGTTTTGTTTCCTTTTTGATGGATGTAGGAATGTAAGTTTCTTTCTCCATGATTGTGGTTAGCCCGTGTTACGTTAGCACAAAAATGACTTGAATGTGTCCTTTTTCACTTTGTCATCCCACAGCATCTTTGCTGATGTTCCCCGACGTAGAGAGAGTGTTTTGCAAGGATGGTTTTTGGCAATATCAGGGGTGCGGAAATTGCAATATTCAGTACCTATAGCATCTCCCTTCAATAAGTAAAGAGAACCCGTGTGGTTCATGACGCAGATGGGTTAATCTGCGAGGTACATTCGGTGTTCAACCTGTGTTTTGAAGGCCTTCTGCAGTCGGTGTTGCAGTTGTGTCCATGTCAGGCCTGTCAGTTTCCCCGGTTGGCAACCCCATTCGTCTAGCCGGTCTAGGACCATTGACTAGCTCTACAGATTTATGGGGCTGCTTATGTACTATCCTTCTGTGGTATTTAATGTGACACAGGACTTATCATTGTTTACACCCTGTTTTAATGTAGGAGCTTTGCTTTGAAATTGTTGTACTCTTACTAACAGAGCGAAAACTGTCATTCTAGCCACCACCTTTATAGGGTGGCAGCAATCTGAGGAGTGTTTGATGGGCTCGGAGGTGTCGTTGTGCTCACCTATTCATTAACCGTGCTTCATAATCCGTCCCTACCATGTCTCCCTTCCTTAATACACCATCCCTAAAATCGTAGGAGTTTTATATAGCATATATTAGACAACTATGGTCAGCCTTATAACTGGTACAAATTTTTTTCAGGTTGCTGTAAAGACTATAGATAAAACACGGCTTGATGTTGAAAACAGAAGAAAGGTTGCAAGGGAAGTTGAAATCATGAAACAGCTTGATCATCCAAATATAATTCGGCTTTTCCAGGTAAATTGTTTTTTGAATGTGCTTTTCATCTCCAGTTACAAAGTGAAATAAATTACTGTCAGTTCCTTGTGTCCACCCACATGAATTACCATATTATTATGTATGTTGTCAATTCTTGTGTACTATCGTAGGTCATGGAGACGGCCCACCATATCTATCTTGTTACTGAATATGCAAGCAAGGGTGAAATATTCGGTAAGATTTAGTGTACGAAAATTGGCGATCTCCTGTGTTATACTATGGCTGCTCGTTGTCTACTGGCTGTACACGAGTTGCCAGTTTTGATAGGGCACGAGGGCTATTAAAACTGAAGTAAAGAGTGTGCAACCAAGTAGACCAAAAGCAGAGCCATTGTATAACGTGTTTCTATGATGACCTCTGGCAATAAGGCTGTGACGAACGACATTCCGCAAAAGCTTTCTAAACACCTCTTTTTAATGCACACCCTCTAGCTCGTTGTATCCCGCACTCTTGAATGCAGCCTGTTACAGTAGCAAGCAAGCTGATTGTCACCGTATACTCTTCCTGTCTACGGGACCTTTGGGAAGCAGCTTTCTCTGGTTTACATGCTCCCTGGCAAAGAAACAACAGCACGCAGTGTTATAGTGCCTTCCACCCTGCCATTTACCCCTACTATCATTTAACTACCATGCTACCATACCTGAGGAGTTTGGAGACAGTCACGTGATCCAACATGTAATTAAATTCCATCTTTCCCGTGCCATACATTTTCAATAGAGAGAAGCAAGGCGATTTTTCGTCGGGCGCCGCGAATAGATATCGCTGAATGTCTGAGATCTTGTTTGTCGTGGTCGAAGGTTTCGTCTTAGATACCGCACCCCAAAGCTCCCCTTCCTCCAGTGTTGCCAGAACCGGTAAACAAGAGTATAGCATGACTGTAGTAATGCAAGCGTTCTATGTAGCCCTGCAAACGTCCATGGTCTCCTACTTTAGATGGACCTGTGACAGTGTCTACACAGCGATTTGGCGGAAAACATGAGAAATGGAAGTAAACTAACAAACATTGTAGCCTCTGTACACAGGTAAGCAGAGAAAGCTTTAAATAGCTAACGCGGGGCTTTTTACAACTTTTAAAAAGCTTTATGTTCCGAAAATTCTCCCTTCTCGCAAAGAAAAAGCAGCACTCTGAGGGTGAACACGCCTAATTGCATTTCATGCTGCGTATTTGGGTCACATGAAAATTGCACTGTGTCAAACCTTCTCTGCTACTATACACCCACTGTGGTTATACAAATAAGTTGACACAGCTAAACTATGGGGAAATTTTATGGCCTCTTTATGTACTATCCACTGTACACTCAGCAGGAAGCGCTAACTATCGCTTTGACTAGCACAGATTCCTTTGATCTTACGCTTAGTCATCATACAAATATATCTTGTTTATGTATGTGTGGATAAAACATTGGTCTTAAAGTAATTGAGCTTGGTAGTTCCTCGACACTCCTTTTTGGTTGAGCCATGTTATTAACCCTCGGTGCGCATGCGCAGCGAGGGTTACAGTAGTCGTTCTGTCCGTCTGTCTGTGTGTCCGCTTGAGTTCTAGCACTACAGGCTACGAGACGGCCAATGAGTGGCACCAACGGGTTGTGAATGACGAGAAGATTGATATTAATGTGGCGATTTTCCCGAAACGACTGCGTTCCAGAGATATGGCGTGAAAACAAGCGAAAAAGCTTACGTGAGCGATTCATCGCGCACACGCGTATGTGGGTGTATCGTTTTGCCTGAGCATCAGATGCGAGCGATCCGTCGCGCACGCGCGTATGTCGTTTACCGGAGCATGCGCATCTGCTAGATTCCGCGTGGTTTTAGTTGACCTTGGACCTCAGTCATTGTTGATCTCTGTTCTCGATGGACAACAAATTGAGCAAGGTATATCCGCAATGTTCATAATCTTACTGGGCTTACCGCGACCTGATCCGCTCGCTCTGTGTACCTTTGGGGCTCAGAAAGTCACAACGAATGGCATGTATCTACTCCCGCATGCTATCTACTACTGTAGCTAGCCCGTGTCAGACTCGTGACGTGAGCAGTATCGCGTATGCGCAGTTCGCCGAGGGTTTGCACTTTAGTGCTTTTCATTTTTTATCATGGTTTATTTAAGTCATTTGAAATGTAAAAAGCCTCCTTCGTGTGATTTATTGTGATCCAATTTTGTAGCACATTTTTGGATCTTCTATAAATGATTGGCATCGGGTTATAGGACCTAAACGTTTTTAAGTTTCAAGGTGCAGACCTGTCACGTCTCGTCATAAAGACCTTAACTTGCCCCCTGTTGTACAGTTTACAACTGGATGAGACAGGAATTTTTGGCAATTAACAAAAGGTTGCACGTTTTGTATGTAAGTGTAAACCCTACCTGCTGAGTTGCCCTTGTAGCTAAGTTGGTAGACCACTCGCCTAGAGTGCAGGCTGTTGTTTTTTTAGATTTCCACCTAAGGAAGCTCTTCGTTCTTTGAGAGTAGTCTGTGCTGCTGCTTTACCATCCGGGTTTTCGTGCTGGCTATAATAACACAGGTATTATGCTTGTAACATCTGCAGGTTATCTTGGGTGAAAGTTCAAAGGTATAGAGTTTACTTCAGTGCATAAGAATTCCTGCAACATGTTTACACATAAACACTATAGTTCAGATCGAGTCAAAGTTTTCTGCCAGTCAAGGTCAGGACAGCTTGGTGAACAAGAATAATTGGCAAGCTAAGATGATAATAATCCAGTCCCTGAACTTTTCCCTGTGATGCATGCATGCACAGCCAGGGTTACAGTACTTTGTCTGTCTGTTTGTCCGTCTGTCTGTCTGTCTGTCTGTCCACGTGAGTTCTCGCACTACAGGCTACTACGAGGCGACCTATGAGCTATACCAGCAACTTTAGGACTACGAAAGCATCAAAATAGAAAGGTGATTTTCCTGAAACAACTGCATTCCAGAGATATGGTGATTTTTCGAGATCTTGCCTAACGCAAAACAGTGGTGTGTGCATGAGTGCGCTGCTGTGGGACCTGGAGAGCTATAGAGATAGGCGAAAACAACCCAAAGCTGAGTACTGAGCGAACGGGGAGAGTTCGCTGAGCTTTTAAGTCATGCAGCAAAGGATTACCGGAAGTCAAATAATGGTGGCAGCTGACAGCTGCAGGCGGGTAGTTGTGACTCCTCTGGTCGCTGGTACTATCCCGGCACGTAAGGTTTTTTTTTTTTTGGGTTTGTCATACGGCTCTACACTGAATATCCTGCGTATTGTATTCAAGAAACTGTGACTTCTTGCGTGTCTAGCGCCTTTGCCATTTAGGTTGTTCTCGGTTATGCCACAGTTGTTCTCGTACAGGGACAATAGTGAACCCAACTCGAATAAGTGACAATGTTGTACGAGACATTTGGAAGTTGAATGGGAAATTCACATCAATCATAGACGTGAAAGTGGAACTCATGGAGGAAAGATAAAGTGCCGCGTAATACATGCTTTTCTGTTGGTTATTTTGCCGGTCGTAAGTCCACAAAGAAATGCCTGGTGAGCGAGGAGGATCTAATAGCCATGTATTCAGAACTGGGGCAAGCTATGTGTGCTTGTGGTGTGATGGGTGTCCTGAAGGGAAAATCAGAGGAAACGCAAAAGAGATGGTAGCCCTCGTCACAAATCAAAACTGGCTGAAAAGGAAAGAGAAATGGATGACCTGGTTTCAGACCTGAAGGAAATGCACATGGGACAAACACAATGTATGTGATCCGGAATGTCGGTTGTGGGCAAGAATGATTACTGACGGCATACATTCTAGCAAGGAAACCCCTCCTCAAGTGCCAATGATTACAGATACGCCAACTACTGCGAAAGACAATGGCGGTGACAGTTTCCAGCACTGTAACAGCTGTTGTGAAAGGCATGGGAGCTGCTAAGCTGCTACACATGCAAACAAATGCGCTGGGTGTCCAATTTCCTCTAACTACTCAAGCAGTGTTGGGCTTACCACCTAGCAAAGCTGTTTAAATGAGTGCAAACCCCCCGGCGAACTGCACATGTGCCATGCTGCTAATTGATGGGCTGGGCTAGAAGTATGCGTTTCTCCTGCTACTAGCTCGCGGAGAGTCTGGCACGGGCTAGCTACAATAGTAGGTAGCATGCAGGAGTCGATACATGCCCTTCGTTGTGACTTCTTGTGCCTTCAAGATACACAGACCGAGCAGACCCGGTCGAGTACTGTAATCCAACTGCAATTTTTGCTGAGTCAGCAGCTTGTCTTCTGTGGAGAATGTATGGCAAAAACAAAGCTCTTGCTGAACCAAAGCCAAAGAAGTATCGACATAGTTTTTAGACAGGTAGGTCAATCCTAGGCAGAGGATACTGAAAAGCAGGCCAACCCCCTCTACCCCTGGTTACCCAGCAAGTTACAGCGTCATTTACTAGATACCCTCCGCCACTCGATACATGAGAATTATAACTAAACTAAGCATACTATTCCTTTTCTCAAGACTTCCTACAACTCTCTGCACGATTTCAAGCGGATCATGCAACTTTTGCGCTAACAAAATCGGCCATAAACTTTGGATGTCAGCACCTCGGCGGCACTGACCTTGCATTCTTTCACCTGTTAGGAATTCTTTTGCGATTCATGTGCAATTCACGTGAGTGCTTCCAACCTCCTGTACGTGAGTTGTGTAATGTGCGACTGATCGCGCACGCGCCCCCGCCGGCTGACCACAGAAGTTTTCACACTTGTTGCACCTTCAAAGCGTAAAGCTGTGTGCGCATGCGTACGTTTCGAAAACTCTACAGCGAGGACTGGAGGTAAGAGACCTTCTTCGGAAAATAAGTGACAGAAACAAGCTGTACACAATTGGAATGGTTCTAGAGAATCCATCACTCTACCATGCCGAATTATGCCACGATAAAATCAAAAGCCTGCTTAACATAGAAGTGTCACCATCGCTTATATGCCGATTGCTCAGGAGGTATGGAATGACGAGAAAGAAGATTAGGCAATGGCTTCACAGAGATGTGACTTTTCATGTCACAGTGTCTTCTACTGCAACAAAAGATGTTCATATGTCAAGTAGGTTGATAGAGTGGAGCAAACAGAGAGATAGTCTACGAAAGTTTGGCTATGCACTGCGAGAATCTACTCCAACTCACCACAGATTCCTTACTAGAAGAAAAGTTAATGCAATGACATCAGAAGGAATGGA